GAGATTTTATTCCAAGCCATTTTGGAGCATTTCTATGGGTCATTCATCATGAAATGTTCACATAAGGGAAGCTGCTGTGCTCAAATCATTTGTGCCCATAAATTCCAGTAAATGAGGACAAAAAAATTGCCTTTTACAAAAATGATCACTTCCTATGCAGGCAGTTTTTTTGCTATTATACTGAGAGCAATTAATCAATAGATGTTCTATGTTTAATTTGATTTGATTAGACAGACATTTCAGAATACTCCTACTGATAGAGACAGGTATAATCCTGTTCATGCACTCTTAAAACAGATGTGTTAAAAAAAAACACATTCTATCTCTAAATAGACACATTAGTGTGTTCAGTTGGAGACAACAGATTTTGTGTAATGTTTAACACAAAATGTTTTAAAATATTTCTGTATCCAATGTGTACCCAAAACACATTTTGGGTTATTTTTAACGGGGTAGAGGGGGACTGATAAATTGAGCAGAATCAGATGGCCTACAGTGAATAACTGTGAACGGCAGAAGGTTTCAATAAAAATTACCATGTTTTCTTTGCTGGGTTTACAATAGCTCAACATATTAAAGACTAAACAGGTTCCTTCTGAGGACAACAAGTTCACCCTTAAATATTAGTCACGATATTTCGCAGCTGTCAGAACAAAACCATGTATCTTTGTTTTTGTTATTTTTCAGTTTTTGATATAATTTGAAAATGCTTATTGCCCTTTACATTGTGGTTTTTTTCTTGATCAATGGACCAAAAGAAATGACCCAAAAAAATCTGGTTCCATTGACTTACATTAAGAGTAAAGTATGTTTTTTTCCTCTCCTGTAAAGTTATCATTTTGGAGACAAGAGGTTTTGTTTGCAGCAGTTGGGGAATACGGCCCATACATATTGTCCCCTTGTTGTCATGTCAGCGCTCATCAGCACTCAAAGCTTTCAGGTGTTTAAAGAGGAATTATGCCAACTTTTTAAAAGTTCTCCATAGTTAAATGGTTTCGATGCAAACCAAGTGTTTCAGAGTGGTTTGCAGAGGTGTGGACTCAAGTCATTGTCACGAATTTGATGACTTGAAACAGGACTTGACAAAATCAAAACAGATTTGCGACTTGACTTTGGCTCAAACATTAATGGCTCGGACTTTGACTGTTCCCAAAAATCATCAAAAATTATGATGTGTAGTTGTACACGTGCATACCGTTTCGTCATGGTTAATGTTTATTTATTTGGAAGGGTAAAAAATAATAAAAAAAAAATATACAGTCAAATATTATTAACATTCTGTCACTAAAAGGCTGTATTACTGTTACCATCATATTTGTGTTCAGTGTTGAAATGGCCTCAAATTAGCTGAAGGATGCTTACTGACTTGTTTAGGACTCGGGACTTGGGACTTGACTTGAGACTTGCTGTACTGACTCTGGTCTTGAATCAAGACTCGCCTGTCCTGATTTGGGACTTGACTCGGGACTGGAGACTTACTTATTACTTGCAACTTAGTGACTTGTTCCCACCTCTGGTGGATTGATGTGAAATGCTATGTTATAGAGAAACTTAACAATTCAGAATTGTTCATAGTGATAGGAACCAGACATCTAAAGCTTTTGAGACACTCCACAGACGATGTTTTAGAACAGTATTACAACATGGTTTTGGCCTGAACCTTATATTTCTTTTGAAAAAAGAAAGCATTGTAAAGGGTGCTGTAAGGAAATATCCTGCCCATTTTTTTCTTCTATTGCATCATTATCAGCAATTACAGATATGAATTCAGAAGACGTGTAGGTTCACTGTTGGTTTTGGATAGTAAATAAAACGGCTATATTTGTTTGGTCGACATTGTGACCCCTGGTCCGTTTCACCACCACTGTAAAGAAATCAGAGTCTGCAACTTCTTTTGAGGTGAACCATTTCACATCAAACCGTACTAAATGACTGTTAACATCTGTTAACCAATTTGGACCAATTTTTTTTTAATATGTGCTTTGGAAAAGGAAACTGTCAAATCATTATTTGCACAAAACCTGCTCTTCATACCAAGAAAGACACTTTGATGAAACTATTTGGTGTAAAATGTCCCCAGAGTAAATAACAGTTTTTCATACTTAACTGAAAAATAATGATGAAAATCAAACATTATTCTCAAAACATGTAAAAGAAGGTTAGACAGCTGTGCCCTTTTAACCACTAGAGGGCAGCTTTACTTCATTAGAGACATTCATTACACACACACCAAACCTCAGCTGATAATTTCCCCTTTTCCGTATCTTGTACTGATGGTCAAACTTTATTCTCTGCTGTTATTGTTTTCTATCCAGCTTCAACCAGAGGAGGATGGGTTCCCCTTTTGAGTTTTGGTCCTTCTCAAGGTTTCTTCCTCTTGCTCTTAGGGAGTTTTTCCTTGCCACTGTCGCCAATGGCGACGCTCATGGGGGTTCGGACCTGGATTTTTTTTTTTTTTTGGTAAAGCTGCTTTGTGCCTGTTGTGAAAAGCACTATATAAATGACCTTGACTTGATATAGAACCATAAACAACCCATTCTCCATCAATCTGAAGAACAAAGTCACCATGCCAAGAACACGCTAAAGGTTCTTTGAGTGTTTATGTTTTATATAGAACCATTGTCTTCACTCAAGAACTTCTGAAGAGCCATCTTTTTTAAGAGTGTAGTTGAAAAAGTGGCTATATTTGAATTGTAGACATTGTGCCCTCTGGTTCCTATCACCACCACTGTAGATGAAGTTGTTAAGTTTGTCTAAAATGCATGATTTCACATCAAACCACATTATATCTCAATGAATAAACTGTGCAGAAATCTTGAAAAACTGGTGGAATTCCCCTTTAGGACTCTTGCTCAAAGACTATGACGTCCAGTGAAGATACCACAGGGTCCATGCTCTGTCTGTCTGTGGTCTGGCTATGGTTCAAGCTATTCATAATTTACACCACATGATGTCACCAGCCGCATTAACTCATACATCCATACACACATACAGACTATTATTGTTTCTCTACAGACATTACCTTGAAGACGTGGCCACATTTGTGAGAACATGCCTACACTGTACAGGTTGGAGTGTATATGTACAAAAACTAGAACAAAGGAGACTTTCATCTGTATCAATACGGCACTTCCTGCTTCCTCTTCTTGTCTTGCTTTTTCCTCATGTTTTTAATGCTCAATGATTTAATCATCCGTCTCCAACAGTGTTGTATGGACTGATGTTGGTTCACTTCTGTATGACCACTGTTATTGTTCTCAGGCTGTGGTCATGTGGGACCCAACCTTTCCTCTTCACCCACCCCACAGCGCCACCCAGCCTTCACCCTGCTCACTTCTGCAGAGTCATGGTGAACCAGACTTTTCCAAAGAACTCCAACCTACCACTCAACCAAGGATGAACAAAAGCTCTTACTAAAGAATCTCACATGGATTACTCACTTTACACAGCCCTGAAACATGACAGGCGGTTGAGGCAGCAACTATGTGTGGGAGGGTGAGGAGAGAGAGAGAGAGAGAGAGAGAGATGATATTCTTTTTGATGTTGAAAAGAACCCTTTCTGATGTAAAGTCTCAAAACATAATTAACACATTAGGACCATGTTGGCAGCTCAAGATCTGTCAGCAGGAATTGTCAGCTGATGACAAGAGCATAACACATTTTTTAATGCACAACAATCATGAGCTCCTCTCAGCAGCTGGCTGACGATCTGAAAATGAAGCTAATATATGCCTACAAAGCAGAGGAGCAATATAAAAAGATATCAAAGCACTGCTAGCTTTCAGTTTCCTCTGTTAAAAATGCCATTAAGAAATGACAGTTAAGGAGAACTGAGGAAAACAAGGCAAGAGCACGAAAGCTCTCAGGACTGTTCAAACGCTGGCCAGAAAGGCAAAGCAAAACCCCCACATGACAGCAAAAGCCCTACAGGAGGTTTTACATAACACAGGAGTGATGGTGCACCATTCTACTGTGCAGCATTGCTTGCACAAGCCTTACCTGCCGCCTAAGGCAAATATAGGTGGAAGAATGAATTCTACTGAACACTATCAAATTCTGGAAGTAAATGTGACACAGTAAAGAAACTGAAGCTTAGGCTATCTCCTGATTCTTTTGGAATGGCTCCCTTAGTCCCCTGACTTGAACATCATTAAAAATCTAAAAACATACAGGGCAAAAATATTACCGAAATAGAAGCTTTCTGCAAGGAAGTGTGGGTGAAAATTCCTAACACTAGAACAGAAAGACTTCTAGCTGGCATCTGCAAGCTGTGATATCTGCTAAGGGTATATAGACTTTTGCACATGCCATAATTACTATTTTTCTATTTTTAAGCTATTCAAACATAAAGTAACTGTGTTAACAATTGCAGAAAATGTTATTTTTTTAAAATAGTTTGCTGCAGATGTCCATCCATCTACCCATTCATCTATCTATCTATCTATCTATCTATCTATCTATCTATCTATCTGTCTGTCTGTCTGTCTGTCTGTCTGTCTACCTATCTGTCTGTCTGTCTATCTGCCTGTCTGTCTAACTGTCTAACTGTACGCCCATCTGCCTGCCCACCCATCCATCCATCCATCCATCTACCCATCCGTCTATCTATCTGTCTGTCTGTCTGTCTGTCTGTCTGCCTGCCTGTCTGTCTTTTTTAAAGCACTAAAAGAACCCAACGATTTCTTTTGATTCCTGAGATAAACCCTTTAAACTCTAGGGACCCATAGATGCTTCCTCACTTTCCATAACTACAGAGCTTACTCATTAGTTACATGGTACTGACAGTACAATAAGTCTTAATAATAAGAATAATAACTAAATAACAAAATAATGAGTGCAAGGAAATAATAAGCTTATGGTTAAAGGGGTTAAAGTGGAGTTAGGTGAACACATTAAAACAGATGTAAAATACCTGCCAAAGACAATAATACAAACTTGTGTGTATGTAAAGGTTCAGTCTATACTCAGGTGTAAAACAGCATTATTTAGCTTCGTTAGTCCGGCCGTCAGTGCAAACAGTCCACAAAGAGAGGAGCACCCACATCCATCTCTGCGCGCTTTTTTCATAGCGGGAGGCTGATAAAAGCCTCTTGCTGACGTCTGCCTGGAAGGGAGGGTCTATATCCACCACCACCACGCTGTTCTTGCAGCGGCGTTATGTATTTGCCTACCCGTTATCCAATCCTAGCGCAGGTGGCGGGACTCTGCTGGCGAATCGCAGCGCACAGTGGGCGGGGTTTTCCGGAAAACCGGTGGGAAACGATTGTCTCTCAGCGACGTTCAGTACAGGAAACAAGGGTACTGGTCTCCGAAAAAAAAAAAAACTTGTGTAACGCGAACCGTATAAAAGAGAAAGTAATGAGCTGTAGGCGCTTTGACTGGAATTTAATGGCTGTAAGTCGAAGTTTAGTCAGGTGAAGAAAACGCGTGTTACGAAATTTGAGTTGGTGTCGCTCTAAGGTATGTAGATCCATCCATCCATCCATCCATCATTCGTTCATGTACGTTAGTTTAGAAGCCCCTGCGGAGCCTGTAGCCTGTAGACTTCTCACACTGTGGAGGAGATTCTGATATTAGAATATTAATTGGCCGGTTAGTCACTCATCTTGAGTCGATTTTATGACCTATATTTCGTCAAGTGTAGCCTCAGTCTTTCCGGTAGCCGCATGTTCAGATCCATATCTTAGAAATCTTGTAAATTAAAGGGTCACGTCAGCTCCTGCATCCTCCACCCCCAGCCTGTGCACTAAGATGGGGATGGGAACCGACACCAAACCGCCGCCGAGCGGATCCAGCAAGTTGGCCGTTGACAGTGAAGAGGAAGACGGCGGTGTGGAGATCATGAAGCTGGAGGATGCGGAGCCGGCAGGGCAGCAGAGAGAGACCTGGACCCGCCGTCTCGAGTTCGTTCTGGCCTCGGTGGGTTACGCCGTGGGCCTCGGCAACGTGTGGAGGTTTCCGTACCTCTGCTACAGGAGCGGCGGAGGTGAGTGAAAACACGCGCTGTAGCTCTACTTCCTGTTTGGACCACGTGCTATGTAGAACCATGGACTCTCATAGAACCCTTTGCATGATCAAAGGGTTCTTTGCATCATGGAAGCGTTCTATATTGATTGAAATTGTGTTATATATGGTTCTATATAGATCCTTTTTGAAAGTGGTTCTATATAGCACCCAAAAGGGTTCTTTTATTGTTACGATGTCAAGCTTGTAACAATTGAAGAACCCTTTTGGTGCTATGTAGAACCCTTTTCAAAAAGGTGCTATATAGAACCATATACAACACATTCTCCATCAATCTGAAGAACCTGCTAAAAATGCAAAGAACTTGTAAAAATAGAAGAACCCTTTTGGGTGCTATATAGAACCCTCTGTTCTTCAATTGTTACAAGCTTGACATCGTAACAATAAAAGAACCCTTTTGGGTGCTATATAGAACCACATTCAAAAAGGTACTACATAGAACCATCTACAGCACATTTTGCTTCCATCTGAAGAACCATTTCATGATGCAGAGAACCCTTTAATCATGCAAAGGCTTCTCTGAGTGTTCACGGTTCTATGTAGAACCATTTTATTCACTAAAGAACATTTCTGCAAACTTTGTTCCCCCCTTTTTCCCTGTTCTTCAATGTTCAGGACCCCTACAGAGCAGGTATTATTTGGGTGGTGGATCATTTTCAGCACTGCAGTAACACTGACGTGGTGGTGGCATGTTTGTGTGTGTTGCGCTGGTACAAGTGGATAAGACACAGCAGTGCTGCTAGAGTTTTTAAACACTGTGTCCACTCACTGTCCACTCTATTAGACACACCTGCCTTGTTGGTCCACCTTGTAGATGTAAAGTCAGAGACAGTTGCTGTTGTTGCACAGTTTATGTTGGTCATCCTCTAGTCCTTCATCAGTAGTCACAGGATTCTGCCCACAGTTGGATATTTTTGGTTGGTGGACTATTCTAAGTCCAGCAGTGACACTGAGGTGTTTAAAAACTCCAGTAGCACTGCTGTGTCTGATCCACTTATACCAGCGCAACACACACAACACGGCACCATCACGTCAGTGTCGGTGCAGTACTGAGAATGATCCACCATCCAAATAATACCTGCTCTGCGGTGGTGCATAGGGGTCCTGACCACCGTAGAACAGGGTAAAAGGGGGCTAACAAAGTATGCAGAGAAGCAGATGGACTACAGTCTGTAATTGTAGAACTACAAAGTGCACCTATATAGTAAGTGGAGCTGATAAAATGGGCAGTGAATGTGGAAACAAGGAGGTGGTTTTTGTGTTATGGCTGATCGCTGTATGTAAAGTGTCTAAAAACATGTGTCATAATGTGAATAATGTGTGATCACATTCCTGCTAAAATAACAGCTGGTGCTGGTTTAGCTGGTCACCCTACATGGTCATGCTGGTTGACCAGCACACCAGCATCCAAAACACAACATATGCTGGTTTTACTGGTGACCAACTGTGCTGGTTTTCTAGCAGGATCCTGACATGTTATGCCCTGAAATTGAATGTTATCACATTTTCCACAGGTGATCTCAAGTGTTTTATGCATTTCATAATGTCATGATTACATAAGATAACATAGACAGTCCAAAACCATTAAATTGCACATGTACAACAGTATAAATGAATGAATCATGATGTGAGAAATTCACAAATGAAAAATAAACATGCGCATCACATGAGAAAAACCCACAAGTGGAAACAAGGCACGCGATTATTCCCCAGTGAAAATCATGTCATGTAATTTTTCTATAAGAGCTGGATCAGATACAATGCACAATGTAGTGCCACACTTAAAAATGCCACAAAAATTGAGTACAATTATTTTATTTAACGTTTAACATACTGTGCTGCATTAAGCAGCACTACTTATGCTTTTTTTGTAATGAAACTTGCAGTCGGTCAGTGTTCTGTACTGACGAGATCCACAATATGCTCGGAAAAGTGTATCAGCATGTAATTTATCACAATAATGATAAAATATTGCCATATTGCCCATCCCTAGGGTTTTGCCCACCTAGTCACATCAGTTTTTTTCCAGTCCTCAGAGACACTGCCTCGAGCCAGTCCATGTTTTTGTTCCATTCCATTTCATAACAGCACACCTGAGGCAGGTAAACAGCACCCAGCAACTCACAGCCTCTGGGTTACCTGGCTCACCTGGCTTGGGTGTGTTTGGAGCTGGGGCAGATGTAAACATGCGCTGGATAGAGGTTTCTCTGAGGAGGGTTAAAACACTTGGGACCTCATTTATAAAACATTAGATAAGTTTTCAACATTACTTAGAAAAACATAACGTTTCATGGTGGCACTGCCACTGGGAAGGTTTCATATACGATCATTTTAAGATTGAAATAATCATTTATGAATGTTTCATAAATGTGGTCCCTGGTCTGTATCATTTATGTGGGGTTGTGAAGTCCAGCATGCAGCTCTGTAAACCTGTAACTTTAAACCAGGACTGTGCAGTGTAACAAACTAAACAAAACATGCAGCAAGAAAGTTTATTTGTAAAATTATTGATGAATATCATAATAAGATCAGACTAAACAACCATCTCCGAGTCTGGATTCGGGTAAATAAACCAAAAAGAATCTAGATGAATGTATAAATTTTAAAGAATGTCAAATTTGAGTTTTTGTCAATGCAAATATGTTTTTGAGTTTCACAAATGATCAGTGAATGTGACCTGTAAGCTGTAAAGTCACTCCACTCTTCGGTTTCAACCTCAGGTGCAAATCTACGCAAATGAATCTGTTTTGGTGCTCACATAGAGTCTACAGCCAAAGTAATTTGAAATTTGTTCAGATATCGTTCCCTAAGTGTTGTTTATTTTGCATGTTTTTCTCTAGCTGTTTTGTTCTGTAGGGATATAGAGTTTAGTTCCACTGAGAAACTGAATAGTGTCTTGAATGGCAACAGTAAAATCAGTAAATTGTCCACGTCTCTGTTATTATTTAATTCTCCTATAGAGAAAAATTGATTCAATCATGAAATGTAAACAAAGTCATTCAGAATTGCTTCATCTAAAATGGTGCAACCTAACAACAAAGTGGTATCTGGTACAACAGTGATGATAGGAACCAGGGGTTGTGATGGCTACAATGCAAATATAGCCATTTTATTTACTATCCAAAACCATCAGTGAATATACACATGCCTTCTGAGTTTTTATATGTAATGCTGATGATGGTAAAATAGCAGTAAATCTTGGATACTACTTTACCTTGAATGTACTGCTCCACCATGAACGGCTTAACATTTTATTCCAAAACTTTATCGCAAAACTATCTAAAAAATGTGTCAGCCAAAGTATTCCTAACCATTTCATGCAGCGGGAGGTTACATTAGGTAGCTTTTAGTGGCATTGAATAGTCTAAATGTCTGGTGTAACTAAGATTTAATTATGCAGAACATTAAAAAATGGTGGATTCTCCTATAAATAGGACAATGAGTGATGGAACAGTTCCAGTCATAAAAACGAAAACCCCAAAGATCTGTTCTTCCTGCTGCACATAACCACTGAACACTTCATGTAACGAAGACTTAAAGCACTGTGCCAAAGTCAGAGATTCATTTCTAAAACAGCCATTAGGTTGAAGTTCATTCATTTTTAAGATAACAGTACTTATTTAACGGACAAATACACAGAAACCACAACAACTAAATATATCCTCAGATTTTTCAGTATTTACTGTATCCACTCTTTGCCTTTATTACAGCTTCTGTTCATTTTTAAGAGACTTGCTTTCAGTTTTTCAAGGAAATCTGCAGGGATATTTTTCACACCTCCAAAGTTCAGTCTCAGAAGTTGGTTGGATTTTCTGCTACTCACAATCCAAGTAATCCCAAACACATGCAGTGAAGTTGAGGTCTTGACTCTGGGATGGTCAGTCCATTGTTTTAAGAACACAAGCAGCTTTTTTGTTTTTTTTTGTCTGTTTCCTTTTCTCACTGAGGCTTCTTGACAGCTAGACATCCTTTCAGACCCATAGCGCTGAACTCTACTCACGGTGGAACGATGAACAGAAACACCTGTGATTTTTTTCACGTCTGAAGCAGCTTGATTTTCTCTTCTCTCTCGAAGATGAAACCTTTAAGTGCTGTTTATCTGATGGGGACAGTTTTGGTGTCTACCAGGTCTTGCAGGTGGTTGTTAGGAGTCCCATTTTCTCTGTATCTTTTAATCATTTTCTGAGTTTAAGTTTTGGAATCTTCCATTTTTTCACTCATTTTCCTTTGATGTTCCTCTTGTTTATGCAGGTTGATTATCTTATATACCTGATTTCCTTGGAAAAATTGCCTGAAAAATAAATAACTTGTATTTAATGACTTGTATTTAATGGTTCTTTGCTTTGAATCAGGGATTTGAATACCATTTAGTGACATGCAAAGCAGTCCTTTGATGAGTGTTTGCAGAACCTACTGCATATATAGGATCCTATAGGTGTATACTGTGGAATGCAATGCTAAGGTGGCTGTACATGGTTTTAAAAGAGGCTTATTTAGACAGAAGGGGAAAACAAACAGCATGATTCTAAAACCATATGAAAAAAGCATAGCAGGTGGTCTCTAATATATTAACGTTCTGCTAAAGCTCAGTGGCACATTATGCACTATGACTATAGGATATAGGATAACAAGCCGCTGACTGAGCTGCATGACTGGTTTCCTGAACAATGGGTCACGTCATATAATATAACACTGGCACAGCACTGCCATCGTTACTGAACACTGCCAAAGGACATCTTTACACCAGAGGTCCCGCACAGTGTGTTATTTGAGCTTGCTGCTGTTTGTGTCATGCCTCCATCATGAACCCCTCTTGTGTTCTCTGTTTTCTGACACTGTGGATTACATTGTTTGCTCCGTTGTTAATCATAAACTAAAATGTCAGTGGATGTTGGTACATATAGGTCACTGCAATCGTTAATCTACTGGCTTGGAGTTTCCTGCACTGATCTATGTAGGGTACTTCACCAAGGTGAAGAACCTAGAAAAGATAATGCATTTTTATAGATAAAATAAGCAATTTGCAATATATGGACTGTCTGGGGGTCCCTGAGGGCCAGTTTGAGAACCACTATATAGGAGCTTTTTTGCTAAGTGTGCATGTCTTGTATAGTTTTCTGTCCTTAATGTGCTGTCTGTGGTATATTAACTGTAGCTCAGAGATGATTAGAGTAGGGGTGCATCATATATTGACTGCCAGTTTATTACATGTGAAGATAAATGGGAAATTGTGATGATTATTTTCAGTCTGATATTGGATCTGATGACAATAGTTACTACAGATAATTTAGTGCACTATTTGTAGGTTTCAGTGTGTTAAATGCATAAAAATCAAAAGACTTCACAATAACTACACATGAAACTATTATTGACCAGGAAAAATACAGTTTCTGAGTGTGACAGATTAACTTTCAGTAAACAGTTATTACAGGAATGTTCATAATGTTATATTACTATTTCATCCCCTTACTCTCTCTCTCTCTCTCCCTCTCCCTCCCTCTCTCTCGCTCTCTCTCTCTCTCTCTCTCTCTGTCTATTCTATTCAATTCTATTCAATGTTGCTTTATTGGCATGACAAATATTAACACTTGTATTGTGTCTCTCTCTCTCTACTTTCAGGTGCCTTTCTCATCCCCTATGTAATCATGCTGTTTCTGTGTGGTATCCCGTTGCTCTTTATGGAGTATGCCATTGGTCAGTACACTCGCTTGGGGCCAGTTCATGGACTGGCCAAAATCTGCCCCCTTCTCAAAGGTGAGTGGTTTGTGTGCATCGATTGTGCCCAAGCACTATTGATGGTTTGGTCACCCATCATAGACCTTCACTGTGTTCCCCCACTTTCCACAAATACTGTCCAGCAAAAAGGCAAGAAAGTTTGATATGCGAGTGCTGTGTTTATCAACTCTGTCTTGCCTCCTTTATGACCAGCGATACGTTCATACAGTCTTCTGTGTACAGTCTTCTTTTAACTCATTAAAATGTTGCAAAATAAGACAAGTTTAAAAATATTCAACTAATTGCAAAACCTTGCCAAGCACCATACATTTGGATTTCCTCAAGTGGCACAGCCACCAACAAAGGACTCATATGCTTGATTATTTATTTGAAAAAATATAGTATAATCTTGAGTCAAAATACAAAATTTGTGTGGTTGTCAGACTAATTCAAACATGTTTTCAGTCCTAAAATGTCACATTTTTAATTAATTAATGTGTTTGTGCCAACTGACTTTTTCTGGGTGGTAAAAATGATTACCCTGTTATGGTTTGCTTGCTTTATACAATAGTTTGTGACATAAACAATAGCTTCACAGCAGAGTACAGAATCACCTTTCACCTTTTATTTGTCTGCTAGGGTGGGGTTTAGGTTTTCAAGAAGAAGATTAATAAGTCACTAATAGGCATCATGTCTAATCGTGTTAGCTAATTGTTCATACACATGTAGCACTTTCATTGTTTTATTGTTTATTCTCAAATCTATAATCATTAACTCTAAGCGTGCAGTCTGAGGCTGGTGGGCTGAAAGTTTATGGCTGTTTTCTAAAGTTCAGATGTACTTGTTTTATTTCCGCTGTACCTCCGCATTACTAACTGTGCACTACGTGCTGTGATCAGTCATAGGAGGTGTGAATCAGAGTTCATTAGGTCAGTGGTACATTTGCTAACCACAAAGTCTGCTTCCCTCAGGGCTGATTCTAGCTTCCCAATTTTGTACTCACAGTCTTGAAGGCAAACTTGTACGCCACAACTGTGTTTCATTACTAGGGCCAAAAAAATTGTGACTGAAACTGATGCTGATTTTAAGAGGCTAAAAATACAGATAGCCGATAATATCAGCCGATATCATTTAGATTTTATATTTAGATTTTAGAGTACATGTTTTTTGGTACTTGCCAACATCAATACTATACTGAGTAACCTACTTAGAATTAAGTTGTCATTAGTGTAAATAAGTGCAAAGTACCTTAACAGTTCAGTCGTTAAGATCTAGCTGATCTAGCTGAAGTGCATTAATTACCTTTGATCAAGTAGCGTTGCAGTGGAGAAGATCTGGTTTTGTTTCACATCAGTAAAGCTGTATGTTTCATAGTTTTGATCCCTGCACATCATCTGTCTCTTTCAACAACAGTCTCTGTAGCACAGTGACAGCAGGAATCACATCCGAGGCTAATCTGAGGAGCTCACTTGTTTAAAGCATTTTGGTTGGCTGGTTAAGCTGTAGCTGACTGTCCAGACATACACTGTGATTTCAGACATACACTCAGTCCAAATGACATGCTACATGAAATGTAGCCCCTACAGACAGCTCATAGGCAGTTAATAAAGCAGTTTCATTCAGAACACTAAAACTAAAATGATGTACAGCATGCTCCAAAAGTCTGAGGCCACTTTGAAAATCTAGGATTGATTTCATTTAATTTTGCAAATAACAGAAAGCTTAAGAATTTAGAAAACATTTAAAACAAAGAAAAATTAAGACACATAAAAGGAAGAAAATGTATTCAAGATACTGCACTGTTTCTACTTAAGCAAATTTGTGACTTTGACCATGTTAAGGCCTTTTTTTTTCAGTCATATTACTTTCACTTAAGTGCATGTTCAGATGACTCATATTCAGAGGTGGATTTGATTAGCTCAAGAGAGGCTTCTCACTGTTAGTGATCAGAGTCAGTGCCAGCTTAAGTGCACACTGTCATTAAAGCAAAAGAGAGACAAACACTAAAATTCTGAAATTTGATTTAGCTTTTTATTGAGATTGCTATGCTGATAATATTATTTATTATATATTAAGGAAGAATGCAAAATAGAAGCATTTTCACTCTCAGATTTTTGGCCCCTACTGTATCTGAATAGGACAATATGGTCTCTCTATGTCTACTTTACAAAGATGATTTAAAAATATTAGCTTACAAACATTTATTACAGTTCCCTCGCAATTCTGTTCAGTCCTACAGAGTAAAATACTCCATGTACGGACTTTGGTATTGCAAATGTTGACTTTTGTTAGTCTACATGTTTTCACTTGAGTAGGGGAAGTGGCTGTGATTGTTTGTGTTTAACACAAACAATCACAGCCACTTGTGTGTGTTTGCAAAGTGTTAGTCTGGCAAGAATATACCAAAGTGGAATGTTGAAAGTGACCAAGGACTTGCACCAATGCATCCCTCGTTTGGATGTTTTTTTTTTTACACTTTTTTCATTTTAACCTTGCTGGTATTTTGTGTTCAGATTTACCAGTTCATGCTGTACTGCTGTGATAGACACTAGCATGCAAATATAGGTGAGTCTGTAGGACCTCAATATCGGCTGGTGTTATCGGTCAGGCTCTACTTCCATATTATGTTACTATATTATATCGGTTGAGCCCTATTTACAACAAAGAGCTTATAAATGAACATCCGTCCTCTAAACTGTATGGTATTTCCATTTAATCACTGTTTCAAATCTTAATTTAAATCAGTTGGCACTTTAAATCTAAATGTAAATCATGGTGTTGTTGACCATTTTCTTGATTGCACTCGTTTTTGTCATTTTGCTGGACTGTGTTCTGTGATCTTGATGAAGAACAGGCCATCACTCTCTCCCTTTCTGTTCCTCCACATACTTTGGTTCTGAGTTTAAGGTTTTCACCCCACAGTTTACTGCTCTGTCGCTAGCTGGGATGATATCTGATGACCTGTTGATGGTTGATCTCTTAATGGTGCTTGGCATCATCAGCCGCTCAGATTTCAGGGACATTGAATTCTCATGGCTCAACTGAACTCTTCTGTGAAGAAGGCCGGAAGCCTGAGAAAGGCTTAGTGCTGATGAAGGCACCAAATAAGAAACGTACAGTGATTAGAAAAGAAAACTGAGCGACTGAGGGGGCTTCTGATCCTGAGCCAAGTCTGAGCACTGAAATCTCCAAAGGAAGTCGAATTGATTCTAGATATTTTCAGCAGCATTATAGTGCTTCTGTTTTTACTGATGTCCATGTTTTGCCTGGGCTATATAAACATTTATAAATACCTCAGTATTTCAATTTAAGAAAGTTTGATAACCAGATATTTATTTTCAAAACATATTAAACCTATTATACTATAAATAGTATCTGTCAATCTGGTACATGTGAGGCACCATTTCACACACACTACTGTTAAAACTTTTGGAATCATGGTTTTTAATAATATCAACCAATGTTATCACAGAAGAACTCAAAATGCTGTTAATGTCCAGGATATTTGAAAAGGAATGACCAAATCTTGCTAATCAAATATCTGTTCATACTAATTTTGTGACAAGATAGTAACTATAAATAGTTAATTGCAGTTTATTATTCAGTAACATTTACATCTTTTCCATGTTGTGACTTTGTTTTGTTCCCAAAATACTTTAAATTGTAAATAAACCATCAGTTTGTTGTTGTATTGCTCTGTTTATAACATTTCAATCTCTATAAGTTATTATTGAGTCACAATTATCAATATGATATTTGAGTCCAAACTTTTGAACGGTAGTGTAAATCTTATCAGTATTAATATTGCATTAATGTTATATACATACATTAATATTAGTAGTATACAGTCATATACAAAGTTTTGAACGCCCATCAAATTACGTTTTGTTGATTTTCTAGGTGAAAATAAGTTAACACACCCTCTACAGAGAACACACTTAAATATGGCTTTTTTCTGCTAATTTTAGCACCCAATTACTATTTATTTGTTGTTTTACATATTGGAAACAATAAAATATAAAATATAAAATGTGCCATAACATTTGAACCGGGAACATTCATGTTTTAATTTTTTTACAATATGTTAAATTTAGTAAATAAACAGTAATTGTGCGACAAAATGTGCAGAAATGTGTTCTATAGAGTTTTGGTGTCCAAAATTTTGAGTATGACTAACAGTATATCAGAGTTTTCATAACAGCATTTATTACATGGAATTATTTTACATGGAAACAATTGGTAGATAATGATTAAGATTATAATGAGTGTAGAAATAAGCTGAGGGACAAAGCAAGCAAACAAACAAACAAGCATTAAACCATCTAAAAGGGCTCAGCCATCAATGGTCATCATCCTCTCTTAGGTAATATTAATAAAAGGTCTTGCTTTCATTTGCTCTAACTCCAGACTTCTCTCCTTAGCTTTTATCTCCTCAAAGACAGAGATAGTCTACCCGGTCAAATCTATATCGCTCATTTCAGTCTATAGCGGCCCCTTGCTTACAGAAGGACTGATGCAGGTAGTTCTTTCTGTATGTTATTCTGATTGACTTGTTTTTTTTGTGCACGTGTCCTTTAAATATTATTTTCACATTTTACAATTATTTGATGTCATACATTTGTAAACTCCAAATGTACAGACAATTGTAATCTACAAGATTCCACGGTCACATACTGTATGACGAATAATGGGTCAGTGCCACGTTTCATAACTAATCTAAAACAAAATGACCTCAAAAGAAATAAATTATTAAAAAAGAATCTAAACGAAAAAAAGGATCTAGGGAAATGGATTTATGCCAGAATCCTTTGCCAGGTTATTCTGTGCTTTAGATCCTGCATGTTCATTTCAGAAGGTGTGTGTATTTATATGCATGGCAGCTGTCACTAAGATTCTTAGCATTAAGGTAATTGTTTCCCTAAAGAGGTTTAAAGCTCCAGTCAGGAATCAGTGTGGTGGGCATGTCAAGTTTGGTCCTCCACCAAAATCAAATGGAAGAGTCATCAGGAAGAAACCTTACCTGCGACCTCATCACAAAA